ATCGTAATCGCATTACAGAATTCAACATTTGCCCCAAAACTAAACACGAGGGCGAAACACGCAAAAACAACATCTTCTTTAATTCTTTTTTTTTGCCATAAATATTTTTCCATAATTGTATAACTATCACTGAGGTGAAAAAAGAGCTATAAATTATCCCAGAGGGAGAACTGTTGCATACTAGCCAACAGAGTATAGCCAACAGAAAGTTGTAAGCGAGTCACGAACAACTCAAAGAAAACAAAATTTAACAGACTTTGTTTTTCGAAAAATTTCAACTTTCGAATTTCGAACTAAAACAAATATGACCTGATAGTCCTTTCAATTTCTTGAAGAATTCATGTTTGACGTAACTTGCTAAAATTAACCTTATTTAAAGAAACTGGATCAATTTGTAAAATTTTTATTGCGCTGAGAAAACTGAAAAAGAGTATTCACTATCAAAACTAGATGTCGATCACGTTTTTCATGACATTTATACTTTGCTGTTCGGTAGTGTAGTTTGCCTTCCTTTCAATATTACATAGTTCGAAATCAAATCATAAAATTTTTGCCATCTGGAAAAAGAAAAAACTTGAATGTGAGTCATTTTTGAACGCCGAACTTTGCGTGAATGAAAAATTTCGGAGAAAAGAAATTTTCAAATTGCCCGGCCATTTTTGGTTGCGACATATTTAAAAATTTCTAGGCTTAGTGATTGTTACAATAGCAAACTTAAGTTCCAATCTACTTGTTCCATGAACGTGAACAATCTTTGGCTGATTCGACTTTAACCTCGATTTTTTCATCATCTTTTGCCTTTGTATCATCCTGTTTTCCTGGCTTCACAAATTTGTATGGCCATTTGTACTGGTACAAAGTGCCCTCGTTATCCAGGGTAACAAGAGTTGGACCTTCTCCATCCAGGGCTATGTCAATCAGCATGTACTTGAACACACTTCTGGTTTCGATTACGCAGTCGGGCTTGAATGGGACCAGGCTTTCACTGGACTGATTCGCTTTGTGGACAATCTGCAGAAAGAATGAAATTCTGGAGAAAAAATGTTAATCATGAGGAAGAATGAAAAGCATATTATTAATAAATTTTGTTTGCAGCGTTTAAGCCTGTATTAATAAGTTTTAATTATACCACAATTGAGCCAAACTTGTCTCTATATGTCAACTTCAGCATTTTCAGAGTTTTTTCTGCAGTGCGAAGAGAGTTATAAAACAGCGAAAAACTTCAATTTAGGACCGGCCTAAGGTTTTGAAAAAAAAGAGTGGACGCAATTTCGGAACAAGGATTTTTATCAGAGTCAGGGGCGAATCTAAGGTTTTCTCGAGAGGGGGGGGATTTTCAAAAAAGTATTCAAAAAATTTGACGACCTTTTTTTGGTCGACCATATTAATTTTCCGAGCTCTCCCAAAATTTTTGAAAAAACAGGCCAAAAAAAAGCGTTTTTAGGCACTTTTTGAAAATGTTGACAAAAAACCGCGTTTTTTCGGCGCGCGCTCCCCCCTCAAAATTAGTATATATTGGCCCCGAAGGTTCAGTCACTAAAAATGGATATCTCAAAATAGTACAAAGGGGGACGCTTTCGGTCGGCTGAGGGGGAAAACCCCTTTAGGAAAAAAGGCGTCTGCACCCGCCCCTCCTCCCCCTAAATCTGCCGCTCATCAGAGTGTTGACAGTTTAGGTTGAAAAAATCCGAGCGCTATCCTTGGACAAAAAAGAAGCTCCGATGATTTTGTAATCGGCCACTCAACATGTCGTAAAATAAAAACAAGTGTAATTTCGAACAATTAAATTATCGAGAAAAACTGCCCAAACCCCGCCCCTCCCCCTCCCCCTAAGCTCTCCTCTTCAAATCATTAACAGAGACTTACGTCGAAATGAATTTGTAGAGTTTTGTCGATTTGAGAAATCGCCCCAAATTTAGCTTTTTTGCAAAGTTTATAGCTGCAAAATGGAGTTACAGCAATAAATTTAGCCTCTTTCGTCAGCATTTTGGGCGCTTTTGGGATATTTTTGGCCGCCTGGAAGAAGTAAATTTTGCGGTAGGAAAAGAGGACAAAGTTTCCGTCTTGGTAAACGAAGTTGTTGAGAGAAAATGTGAAAATGTAGTGTGCTTTCTCGAGCCCATCGGCTAGACTGATGATCTTCAGATGTCCGTGGAATGATTCATCAGTGTAACACGTGAAGATTTTTCCAGTACCTGTGAAAACATTTTATACGTGATCATTCGTTTTTTGTTTGCCACAAAGCTCTACAATGCAGGTAAAATTTGAGAACTTTCCCCAAAAAGATGTATTGTGTATTGAGGAAAGATTTGGAAGGTTTGGGCTAAGAAAAAATTGAAAGCGTTTTAGTTGGATCACCCTCAGTATGTTTTACACTGTAGAGGTGCCACTAGCAAAATTAATGATTTCGTGAAGCTTTTTATAAGCACGCTAGGTTTTTCCAAGCATGGTTTTTCTAAGCACGCTTTTCAACTGATGAAACTTTGAGCTATCCAATAAAGTTCATAGATTGAACCGGTTCGCAAAAAAAAAACGTTTTCAGCGTCTTGAACAAATGAGAAAATTTATTGTGGCATGCTGGTTTGCTTAAGAGGATGAATATGTCCAAACATGGTTTTGGTTAAAAAATTAACAGATACTGTTATGACCTAAAAATGAATCGAGACTATCTTCTCTAAAACGTATATTTTTTTCGAAATTAACACTTGGCGTTCCAGGCTTTGCAATGTTTGAAAGATCTAGAATATCATGCTGATATAAATTAACCGGAAAAAAGAGCAAAATTTTAAAAATTAAACACGTTTTCTTAAATTGGATTGACAATACACAACACAAAAAAAATTCAGGTTGCTTAGAATTTTCGAGAACTATTATAGTACAATTTATTTTGATGAATTCGGAACAGAAGTTCTACTGTAAAATTGGATCATTTTAGCTTCTTTTATTCAAACAACATTAACGCGGAAACTACCAGGGATTTTGATGAGCAGTCCAACAGAAAGTAAGAAGGAAATAACGTCTACCAAATTTGTCTAAATAAATTTGTTTTTGTTTGATAGACAAAAGTATCATTTCTACCATAAACACTCAAAGTTTTTGCTCAGAAATTGATTATAAATGCTTTGCTCAAAATTTTGAGATTATTCCCTGCTAAAATTTTGTCAACCAATAATGTAAAACGCTCATTTTGATAAAATTTGCTTATAATAGGCTTGATAGTTTGCGAGTAATTCTTGATTGGCTAAAACGAGCCAAAATGACTTATTTTGGCTTTCATTTGCTAGATCAGTTGCAATATAATAATTCTGGTAAAAGTCTAAGCAATTTTTGTTCTGTTTATTTTTTATCTAATGTCAATCTAACTTTAAAAAAACGCGTTTAAACTTTTTTGTTTTGCACATTTTGTCCGGATAATTTAAATCAGTGCTGCATAGGGCCAATTTAAATCATCCGGTCAAAACGAATACAACTTGAAATTTATAACGCGCTTTTCTCAAAATAGGTTGACGCTAGAGAAGAAGTGAAGATGGCACAAAACGCCAAAACACTATAATGCATCAGAGTGTCTTGGCATTTTGTGTCATCTTCACGTCTTCTGTAGTGTCAACCTATTTTAAGAAAAGCGCGTTGTAAATTTCAAATTGCAACCGTTTTGATAATTTAAATTGGCGCTATCCAGCACTGATTTAAACTATCTGGACAAAATGTGCGCAACAAAAAACATGATGCAATTTTCTTGGAAAGTTCGGGTTTAGAATTTTATAAAGAGTGCTCACAACTTTCATAGCTCCTAATCAAGTGATGTTCTTTTGTCACAAAAAAGACAAAAAAAGTATAATCTCTTAGCGCAAAGCCTTCGAAACTTTTTAAAAATATAATTTGATGTCAAGTTTAGTAAAAGTGACTTTTTTGGCTGTCAAACAAAATTAAATTAAATTATACAAACCTCAAAAGATTATACCCTTATTAGACGTTATTAGGCTACATAAGAGGATCACTGTGATAGAAATTTTTCAGCAATTGAAACAATAATTTCCGTGTAATTAAAAAGGGATCTGAAGTTTTTTTATATACTTATTTTGTTTAAACTTTACGCATTTTTGGTCCTCGTTGTTTTGTCAACCCATTTTGAGGAGAGTGCATTTTAAACTTCATGTTTTATTTATTTTTTTTGCATAGATAAACTAATTCAGCACTGTGTTCTCTGAAACGTTGAGCCTAAAATTTTTTGAAAGTTGCGATCAAAAAAAATAAAACTGCGTACACTTAAAGAATTTGCCCTAATAATTTGGTTCATCTTTTCAGAAAAACAAATTTCAAATAATTTTTCAGACCAAATCGTTTCGCTGAAATTTCAAGTTTTTCAAAGCAACATGTTGAATTAGAAATCAGAATTATTATGAATAATAAGGTCATCCTCTGATTGCCACGAAACAACCTTGGACCCTAAAATTTTCCTGAATAGTTTTCTACGTACACATCGAAATGTCTGTCAGGAACATTTTGCTCTCGTGAATTTTGACCTTGAATGCCTCAGTAACCTCTAGCTGTCTTGTCTCGTGTTCCCCATCCCATATGCTTTTAGTGAACACTTTATAGACAGCGAGGTCAGCAAAGTTCAAATAGACGCACAGGAAGTTCTTCCAAAGATGGAGACTTCGTCCAATCGAGCCAAGGTCATTCACAATTTCATGTTGTAATTGAAAGGTGTTTATCAACACGCATTTTTCAGTCATCGCAACAAATGTTTTGCCCCATTCCTTAAGAAGCTGGCTGCTATAGTTTTTTAGTTTCGTTTTTATCAGAAAAAGTATTTCAATGAATTCAGATTATTTGGTAAATTAATTTTAAAAAAATTAATCAAATTTGACTTTTTTAAGTCGAGCAAGTTGAATATAGCGAAAACGCCGTTACACTAAGAAGATCCGATTTTTCAATTTTTTTAGGCTTTTTCCTGCGCGTTCCCTTTGACTTTATGAACAAATGACACCATTTTTTTTTCAAAGCAAATTGCCGCATGATGAAATGAATTTGTTTTTAGAGTCTAGCAAACAGCCCTGTTTTGAATCCTCGTCATATTTATCCACATGTCGCTCATTGAACATCAACACACTTATAATTCGGTTTTCATGCTGCTGAACAGTTTTGATTCGTTTCTGCTGGCGACGACAATACACGAACACTTCACCGTTGTTCGTGCCGACGAGTATCCACGAACCCAACATGTAGGCACTCGTCACGACAGTCGTGCCCTTTCGGCTCTCGTGCTCGCTCAGTTCTATTGTAGATTGAGTGGTAGTGTAGGGGTGGTGTATACTCGTGAAACCATTCCACCATTCGGCATAGATTCGTTTCCAGTATTCGCCTGTACAATCTGAAACATTTCACATTTCGAGATAGCTGTGAATGAAGTTTTGAACATCGGGCAAAAGGAAGTTTACCAAGTCTTAGGGTTGGATCTTAGATTTTCTTAAAGGATTATGTATAAATATATTTTCAAGAAAGTGGGGGACTGAATGTTGATAAAAAGTTGCGCTTTTGGAAAACTTTTAAAAGTTTACTCGGTCAAAAACTTTACATAAAAAGTACCACAGAGTTTTTGATTGAAAAAGGGTTCGAAATACTTCCAAAGAGACGTTTTTTGTAGACCCTTCTCTAAATTCACTGTTGTTAGAACTAGCAAAAGAATTTTTGTCCATCCATTTCAAAAATCACCTGGGTTTACTATCGTAATACTCTATCTTAAAATTAAAATAACTCATATGCCCAGAAAAATATATACGACCCGCTATATAAAGTTTCAGCAGAGCCCCAAGAGTTTAAATTTTTCTGTAAAAAAATCTACTTGTCCTCCCACCCACCACCCCCCACCCACTACTTGTAAAATTTTGCAGGTGGGGGTGAAAACGAAATAGAGTCAAAAATACACCAACCGGACAGTGGTCCTCGAAATCTGAGTTCTCCCTTCTCGATTGTGTGCCAGCTGATGTAGTCCAGCAGTTCATGTCTCTCTATGTCGACCATACACCTCACCTTCCACAGACTGGACTGGGCAATGCAGTTGTTCCATTCCCTCGACACCACCTCAAGGTCAGCTAAGTTCACAAAGGGTCAATCCCTACCTCTACTTATCTATACTCCGGTCAAAATAGGGGGGTCAAAAGTATTTTAAATTTAGAACAGTTTGCAAAATAGGTTCATTATTGTAAAATGAAAAGCATTTACAAACAAAAAGAATATAATTTGCGAGACAGCCGATGAATTTTAGACACCTTGTTGCCTCTTGCAGTTAAATGTTTCAAGTTCGTTACGCTATAATTTTCTGTAGATATTTTCCCCAAATCAGTCAACCATTCAGATCTGTAGATAGCTAAAAAGTGTTTGAAAAATTGATACTCGTTTTAGGAAAAAACTCCAATTAGAAAAGTATTTGAGATTAGTTTCTACTTAATGGGTGCTGAAAATTGTTGCGAAGATGGAAATAAAGAGATTAACCCAAATTTGATCCCTCCAGAAAAGCTAGAATGTTGGCAAGGATCTTAGGATTGCCGAGACAGTTCTCCATTTTACATTCCACAGTAGAATTAAATCGAAAACTTCCTGAGCTTTTTTGAAGCTTTCTTTTTTCTGGCGAAAATCTTTAAAAGCAGAATAAACAAATATCTGAAGTCATTTGAATCGTCCAAAAGTCAAGGTAGCTTCACTTCAGGAAAGTCACGTAGCCGACAGTCTTTAATCGAACTGGAATGAGCAGTGCATTTTTCTAAATCGCTCAATCAAAGCTAAGTTTCAATCAAAGCCACCGCAGCCCAATTTTTTACGGATACCAATTTGGCGAACTTTAAATCAATAAAAAATTCTCGAACCAAAAATGAAATAAATGGAAAAATTTGAAGATAACAGCATATAAATAATTTAATTTACAGAAAATCAGCACCAGTCATGCTTTATTTAAACACGTTCTAAAAAGTAATGTTATTAAAAAAAGTGGAGATCACTCTTTCACTCATTCGTCACTAAATTAGCCACAAAAGCGTATACGCAGAGTTTTTGTCCGTTTTTTGTCCGTTTTAATTTATTATTTGTTTGTTCTCATTCCAAGAAATTAACAAACAAAAAAATTGCTTTAAAAAGCTGCCATTTTTAAATAACGGTAGTGTGTTGAGTCAATATCGTCTTGGCAAAACGAAAGATTCATCAAAACTTGTAATTTTGAGTATCGAACATTGACAAATCGAGTTTAATTTTATTTATCATTTTGGTTTGAAGAAAATGAAACCAAAGGTGTAAAAAAAACTATTGACGATCAACAAAAAAACAAAGATCCGATCAGGAACTGATGAGAAACTTTGAAATTAATGAACCGTAATGGGTATTTCAGTGCTGATTTGAATTAACCGGACACTTCGAACAATATTGAAAACTTTAAACGCGTTTTTCTCAAACTGGGTTATGATTCAAAAAAGGACAGAATTTCACCAGATTTGATGCTATTTTCCCACTAAAATCTTAACCAAAACTTCACCCCAAAAATATGTCAGTTTGGATTTCAAAAATTACGCTGAAATAACCAAAATAATTAATGAGAAAAATATATCAAAAGAAGAATCTTGCAGAGTGGTAGAAAATAAACAAATTTTCAAAGAATCTTCATAAGTATATTTTTAGTTGAAAAATATCATTTTGGTTGATAGCCAAAAAAACTCATATTACTATTTACAAATCAAAAAACTTTTGATAAAAAAGTTTAAAACGTTTTACTCAGAGTTTTGAAAGTTTTACCCTCCTAAAATTTTGTTGGGTTGTGTAAGAGGCTTCTTTTGGTTTAACTTTCTCATCAATTAACTTCGTAGTTTCAATGGAATTCTTGTTTATTCAAAAAAAAAAAAAAAAATTAGTTAATTTTGGGGTTAAATTTTAGTTGAAAATTCGGGAAAAAATATAACATAATAATTCTCGTGAAATTCTAAGCAGTTTCTGTTCTCTTCATTTTTTAGTCTTAACCTAAATTGAGAAAAACGCGTTTGAAATTTTCAAGTTTTGTTCGTTTTGTCCGCATAACTTAAATCAGCACTGTACCTTAAAATGACCTAATATAAAATAACTAAGTTTGAGTTTACCATCATCAGCTCGTTATATTGTTTGGCAAATGTTTTGCTGATCATTGTACACTACACTAGATAAACTATGTTCTGCTTTACTATCATGCTTTACTAACAAAAAATTACACCGTGTATTTTGGTTGCAGTTCAAGTTCTACGCAGTTAAGTCTGAAAAACTAAAAACTTCAGATTAGTTTTTTTTTGAAAACGAAACCACTTTTTTTAAACGTGTTTATTTTCGGATCCGAATTTGGAATAAAAGGGTTTCTTTTGGATATCACATTTGAACCCCCAAAAGCTGAGATTTTTTGAAGAAGTCAATTTTGGCAAGAATAATCTAAGTATAAGCTTAGGAGTAGTAGAACCAACGCCAGATGAGTTCATGTGATATTTTTAGGAGGCCATTCAAAAAGTTTTTACCGGCTGGAAAAAAAAGTAGTTTTGCTGTTCTTAATTTTTATGAAAGCTAGAGCTAATAGTAAAATTTGGATCCGCTGTAGATCTGTTTGAATTTAGCTGTTGTATAGCGCTTTTCCTTTCGCATCCAAAAATGGGAACGACAGAAAATTCTTGCTTTGTTTTGAAAAATCAACAAAAATTTCTAACAATTTTAAGTACTTTTCCAAAAATAATGGCTTTGGTCACATTTTTGCTTGCTAGATTAGCCGCAACCGAGAGCTTTTATTCGTTTGAATGTTGTGTCGGATACATATTTCAATTGCACCTAAAACCAATGAAAACACGAGAAGAGATACATTTAATTTCAAATTGAAATTAACCCGATTCAGCTAATAATTTGATTTATAAATCAATGAACTATTTGCATAAATAATTAATTGTTGCGACCATTGAAAATGGGGACGAACTTTGTATTCGGTTGTGTTTTAGTTTTTTTCAAGTTTTTGTTTTCCATGCAAAATCAGCTACCACAACCAATCATTGGACAGGGTTGAGTGATATCCCATATTGAAGCCCTTTCAGCTGTAACTCGAACGACATTAAAAAGTTTAAAAAGTTTTCACAAGGTCGAGAAAAACTGGTTTGAAATTTTTGAAATTTGGTCTAATTTCAAGCTAACTAGTAAGATAACTAGTAATTTAAATAGCTTATTTAAGCTAAGTTATGCCGTAATTACCTACTCTTTGAAGTTTTTTAGCGCAATTTTGGGACTCAAAAACTTGAAAATTCAAAAGTTTCTGCAAAACATTTTGAAAATATTTTTTGATTTTTTTTTTCGTTTTTTTTTTTTCGTTTTACTAGTCATTATTCTTCAAAAACTGATTTCCAGTTGACCTATTTTACTATGAATCTCAAATTTGTCTAAATTCTAATATTTTGTTCAGAATTTTCTATCACAACATACAGAAAGAAAATGACAGCATTTTGAGAAAACATTTTTTTTTTTCAAGACTGGTCGGAACATTCTCAGCTACTTGCACAGTAACCGGATCTCCTTGTTTTAATTGCATTTTTCAAGCTTTGTTGATATATTTTATATGTGAAGGTGTTATCAGATTTCCGACCGCTGAGAGTGGAAAAGATTTTTGTGTTCGGGTGTGTTTCAGTTTAATAGCAGTTTTTCTCCTCACCAGCTCAAGAGCCATAAAAAACTATCGGAAATGGTATATTTTTCATCATCATATACGCGTTTCAGCCGTGATTTGAACGATATTTAAGACTTTGCAAAAACAAAATTATGTAAAGAAAACCTGAGTTGAAATTTTTTTAATCTAATTTTTAGCATCTAAAGAGAGCGAGCTGGCTTATTATAGGGTTATAATTGGAGCCTGTAAGATAAACCGTGGAAATAAGGTTTTTGACAATTATAATTTAAGTTTAAAAAAAAACAGACTAACATTATTGGGCTACATTTTTTTACCTGGTTATTAGAAAACTAAAAGAATATTAAAAACACAAAAAATAAATTTTTGCAAAATAGCTCGAAAAATTTTTTTCGATTTTTTTTCACATTTGTTATTTTTTGTTATTATTATTTCAACTTGATCCACAGATTTAATTTTTTTTGGTGAAAACTAAGCTTCATCCAAATCTAAATTTAATTCAAATAGCAAAAATATTCTGATCATTTTTTTTAACATCGTAACAATTCTTTTTTTTCTGGAAATCCTAACTAAAACAAAAAAGGCTTTTTTTGGTATATCCTACTTGAGCCACTATAATTTTAAAAATAATTACCCAATAAATTCATCAAACCAGGTTGATAAAAAACATGCATGCCATACAATTTCATAAAATTTCATAGATCAAATTAAATTGTATGAGAACAGCAAAATAAGCAATTTAAAACAATGTTTTTGTCACATTCTGGAAATAAATAAAAATATTTTGCCACAGTTGTTATCCTAAAATTTTGTAAATATAGCAAAAACAATTTTTCTTTCTATGAAATTGTATGATAAGCACTTTTCCCTACTCTTAGGAGTTTTTTGATATATATTTTTTATTCATGAAAGAAAATGCAAAAAAATGTTTCGAAACTTTGTGTTCTTATCCAAAACCACAATAACCAAGAAGCCAGATGATAAAAAATTAACTTTTTTATATGGCTAGAAAATTTTGATGTGGAAAACTTCGTTGGATGAGAAAAGAGTTTTTTTCCAGGTTCATATGAAAATGAAATAATACACGCTTGTGATTTTTGATTTTTTTTGGGTCAAAAACTAAACCTAGATTACCTTATAGACACAAGATATCGAACTTTGCGAGCAATTTTTTTTGTATAACATTTGTTTGAGCAGAGTAGCGAGTGTGCAATTGAAAAAATAATAAGAATCTTTCCCTCAAAATTGCTTTTTTCGTATATGAAATTGTAAGATAAATACTTTTTTTATTAAAAATTATTTTTTTATACCAAAGTTGCTCTCATTTAAACGAAACTGACACTATTTTGTATTGCTTGAGTCCAAAACCAATTTAAGATTATTTTCGAAAAAATTGGTTTGAAAAAAATGCTTATCATATAATTTTCTTCTATGAGAATTGTATGGTAAGTACTTTTTCCATAGACTTCATATATGAAATTTTATACTCCATATAAAAGCATTTTCTTTGTCTGCATTTCAACCCGGACCTGGGAATTTAATTTAAAAAAAAACTTTTTGCACTAGCTGTAGATCTTAAATTTTTTTGAGCGGGAAGGCAGATTTTTGAAAAGAAAAATCAAAAATGTCGATTTTATAGGTTGGCCCAATGGGTCTTTGAGATTTAGGGAAACATTATGAAGACCAATTTTCCCCCGAAAACAAATTTCTGCTTCGCAGATACATTATATTTTTAAAACTACGTTTTTAGGGCATTTTTTTTTAAAATGTTAACCAAAGAAATGCGCTTTGTTTTTTCGCTGCGCGAACACTTCAAAATTTTTCTATGTTTATAAGAAAACATATTCTTAAATTTTTTTTAATGTTGATCACTTAAAAAATTAGTATATATTTCGTACGATCAAAAATGGGTTCCTTGTCAGAAAAAATATCAAATGGATGACGCTTTTGGCTCCTGTGGTTTTGAACCTATAAATACACCCCTGTCTAACATCATCGTGTTTTTGTCGCTGAAGTTTTTCATTATTTAGGTTTTCTAAAGCAGAAAAAAGAGTAAATTTTTGTTCTTGATTTCAACCTGAGAAATGCAAACTTGTAAGGTTCTTATCATCTCCTAGACAAAATTACCAGGATTGTTGTTTCACAACGTTATTTCATCAAGGACAAACTAAACTTCAAAGAATACTCCTATTTATTTTTGGCTGATTAAAATAAATATATTTTCAGAGCTTGCAAAAAGTTGATCCAATTTAACGGCATGATTCTTACAACATTTTTTATTTGTAAAAATCTATATTATACTTATTTTTATCACCAAGGCGCGAAATGATCATGAATAAAACAATTTTTTTTGTTATTGTTTTA